GTAATTTTCTCTAAAAGGTTGTTATGCCAAGTAAATAAAGAATGTTTAGATTATGGAGAGTTTGTAACAAAACTAGCTTTTGATGCACTTGAAGGTAATTGGTCAAATGATTAACCCTTTGGGGTAAATGGAAAAGGTTTGAGTAGAAAGTATTTTGAAAACAATTAGTCCTGAAAGATAATTCTATGTGAGAATATCTTGATTTTGTTTATTTGCTCCCAAGTTAGTTGATAAAAACTTATGATTTGATGTCATAAAGAACAATGAATAACACATCGATTGGTCATGTTTTCGTGTTTTTCTCAATCATTTTCCTTTTTCTTTTAATATTAGTATCTAACAAAATAAGTTAACTCGCCTTTGATCGAAAGGACTTGTATAAGTACATAACATAAGATATGGCTTGGCTTATGAATGAAGGATCTATAAAGGCTTAAAAAGTATTTAAGGGTCTTATGTCATAGGATCACTTTTTTTGTCCACAAAAACCTCTTTTAGGTAATGTCGTATGAACTTTATCTTTTTAGCCGTTAGTTAGGCTATTATGAGAAACAATTTCCTTTTAGACATGCTAAGGTGGCTTTGTCATTTTGATTATTGACTTTGTTTCTTAGCTTCAACTCTCTTTGTCGGTTTGTTTGAATTTTGACTCTCATATTAACTTGATTAGGGATTTTTTCTTCTTTTATATTCCCATTTGCTTTTCAAGTCCTTGATGGGATTCTTTTGATAAAAATTTTTTAGAGCTCCATCGGCTATTTAAGGACTTTGTATTCTATCCACAATATGAGGGGTTATCCTAGTCTATGTTATTATTAAAGAAAACATCTTGACTCAAATTGGGATGACAAGGGATTAAAATTTTATGATATATTTAAAAGATGTTCTTTCCTCATCTCGAATGCTAATCTGCCTACGTTAATAAATGCTAATCTCTTTTTTAAAAATAATGATTGATTTAGAGAACCCTTAGGTTAACCAAAGTAATTTGTGTTTATGACTTGAAGATGTACTTGTTCATCGTTATTTTAAACCACCAATCATTTAGTTTTTTGTTTAACTTAACTTTGGGCTTCATGATACTTCCTAAGCAAAACTATCATTCAAGGGTTTGGTTAGGAAGGGATAAAGAATTTTCTTTTTGGTTTTGGTTCTAATGAAATGAGGGATTTGCCTTTTACGTTATGCTCAGAAAGGTTCATTAGGAAATGGATTGAAGAATTGCTTCTAGTATCTATCTATCATGTTTTAAAATCTAATGAATCTTTAGAATATTTTTGAATGATTTTGCCATTATATTTTTCTGTAATTCCAAATAATACTTTCAAATGAACATCTCTTATTTTCAAGTTGAACAATAAGAAATTGTACTAAAAGATAGAAGCATTCTTATATTCAAAGATATGACTTAATTCATGCATAGCCAAATCATCGAAGAAATAGTGTTCAAAAACCGATAATAATTAAAAAAAAAAACCAAACTAGCAAATTTCAAACATGTATCTTCTTCTTAACTTTCAGACTCACTTAGTCTCCTCATCCCTTGTATTAGCAACCACATTGTTTGGTAGTGGGTTTGTGTTTATATTAGAAGGATGTAAACCACCGTCAAAACCGATCTAATCTTATTTGATCAAATCCAAAAGCTTCTACTTAAAAGATGGACAACATTTGATGTTGTGCCCAATAGTAAAAGAATGATATTCACCTCTCTCATCTTGTTTGTACCATGGAGTATAAGGAAGGCACATTAGATTAGTAGGGATTAAAATGACCTATCCGATGCTTACTAGATGCTCAAATATTTTACCCAATGAGAGAGGTAAGGATGATCGTTTTTTGAGTTCTTTTTTATAGTCTCCATTGTTCGGATAGTAATGATTATATGTAATTTGTGGATTGTTAATAGTTGGTGGATTTTAAAAATATATGGTAGCTTGAGGAAATTGATTTGCATGATAGGTTTAGTAGGGCTCATATAATGGATTCGGTTAATTTGATAGGTATGCTTGGTTCATGATGGTTATTTGACTAGGGGCATAGTGGGTGAATGAAGGTCCTTAGGGATTGCTAGAGTTGTCATGGTTGCCATGTTTCCATTAATTACTCCCTGGATTCTTAGATGGATAAGATCCAATCTCAACTCTGTGTATTTCATTGTTTGTCCTTTTATTACTAATGCTCCCTTTCTTTTCTTAAACACCAAAGATCTTTTTAGTTTTAATCATGTGCTCTACCCTCTCGACTACGATAACAATGTTAGTAAAATTGGTTGAAACATTACCAATCAAATACTGAAAGTAAGGTGTTTTGAAAGTATTTAAAAATATTAAAATTAACTTATATTCTAGCAATGATAGATGGATTTGAACTACTACCTCATGCCACCTTTGTGTATGCTCCTTGACGGTCTCTTTAGCCTTTTTCTCTATACCTTGGAGATCTGAATGATTCGAGTCACCTCTATGTTAAACTTGTATTTTCTCGGGAAAGCGTCGGCTAGATCTTTCCATGTTTTGATCTTGGACCCCTCCAACCTCACATACCAACTCAACGTTGATCCACTCGAGCTCTCATGAAAGAAGTGTATAACCAATTTTTCATTGTGTACAACTTCTTACATCTTGCTACGATATACCCTTAAATGGGTCATAAGACATTAGGTTTCAATATATTTAGCAAAATCGACAGTTTAAATTTCCTCAAGGTTACCATATTGAACACCATACACATTTCAATAGCTTTGATAGGATCGTAGACATCCGCCCTCTCTATTGCCCTCATGCACTCCTTGATAGTTGTTAACTTATCCATACTTGGATCTTCTATTACTTTGTAGGTCTCTTTCCCTTTATGGTTCATAATCGACATATGCGATATTTATAAGACTCATAGGTCCATTGAATAGGCAAATGTCCCCACAAGATATGAGGCTTCAACATGGAAAGTAGTTTAATTGGCTACTATTATGATGGATGGCCTAAGTTGATTAGGTGATGGGAAAGCATATGGCATTTCGGGTCGTGCTTGCTTTTGATTTGAACTACTTCCACTACTTAGTGCCTTTTTTAATAAGGTTTTTAATTGAGCCACATCCTCTTTCGGAGAGTCAAAATCCTAATATCGAACTTGTTCTTAGTGTAATCTCTCTTTAGTCTCTATTTGGTGAGTCCTGAATCTAGTATTGTGGACATATGGAGAGGATTGAGTGGAAGAACATATATTTAGTACCTGCAAAAAAAATGAGGGCAAAAAATATATACAATGAATATAAGATGCATATGTATGATCCGAACTAGATTGGATACCTTTCTTTGTTTGATAGCTCGCAAAAAGCCGAAGGTTAGGACAAACATTATTTGAAAATAATTTGTGTCTTAGTGGATCAATCCTAATGGACACGATTTAGCTTTTTATGGTTTGGCAAAGCTCTTATATTCCTAATTTTTTTTCAAGTTTCTAAACTATCTAAATTACCGAGTATGGTAATTCAGCATTTAACCTTATGCACGAGGAGATAGGAGAAGGTTATTCAACCATTTCCTATGCATAAGGTGAGTTCCGATCAAATGAGAGTTTGAAAAAGTATTAGTAAATTGTCATCATATTTGCCTCCAAATCTCTTTAATAAAATGCTAGTAGGGTTTTAGCTAGGGTTCGGAACTTTTATAGGCTTCTTTCATGGTGTGTGCAATTAAAAAAAAAGGCATCCAACCTTGTTCACAAATAAATATACGACAAGAAAATAAATTACAAAAATTAAAACGTGTACAAAAATAAATAACTCAAAATTAAATGACAAAAAATAAATTACTTAGAAAATAATTAACAAAAATAAATATGAGATAAACTTAACAAACAAAACCTATGGCTTAACTCTAATCCTAAGTAGAGTCGTCATTCCGTCACTACCCGACGTAGGACGAGACTCATGAAAAAAAATTCTATATTTATAGATTCGCATCTCATTTGTGGTTTATCCTAGGGATGCAAGTTATTAACTATTTTGGTATTGTCACCTAGTATTCAAGGAACTAGGAACCTAAGATTTTGAATAAGGAGTTAGTTAAGCTTTAGGAAGATATCGATCACCTAAAGACGCCCTTTCTTATGAAAGTATCACGTTTAGTTTAATCTTAAATTTATCTCTTATAATATTTTATTTTGTGCCAACTTATTTTCGAAATGAATTCCAATTTCCAAGTTAAATTAAGTTTTTTATTTTTGGACGTGGCATCATATTGAAACGATTGTCGGCCTTTTTGTCGGGCGACATGTCGGTTCAAACATCGGATCCACTTTAAGCCTTGACTCAATTGATGTGTCGAGAGAATATATTGATTATTAAATGTTGATTTTTTTTCTAACAACAGTCCCTATCGGATAGGAGACTTCATTAAGAATTTCGTTATTATTTTGGCAACGACGACCTTTATACGATAAAAGACTTTATTAAAGATTTTTTTTATTTATATAAAATTTATCATCGAGTCTCTAAAAATTAAGAAACTCAACAATTCTTTTATCAAGTAATCATCTAACCTAATTTCTAAAATAAAATTTTAAAATTTAAAGTTAATTAAATAAATTCCAAAAATCTAAAAAATTGAATCCAAATTCATACAAAAAAATACAAAAGGGAAACCAAAATATTCAAGCTTAAGTAAAAAAAGAAATCAAAACATTAAAAAAAAAGTTCTTATGGGCCTCAAGCCCATTGGCCTTTGCCTTATTTTTTTTTTTTCTTTTTCTTTTTTTTTCTATCTAAACTAGATTAATTCTAATTCATTGTGCCTTGTATATTTATTTTTTATTTTTTGGGAGAAGTCGGACTAGTTCCAGCTTCTCATTTATTTTTTTGAAGGAAAGTGGAGAATTTGAACTAAAACCAATCTAACCTCTTTCCTCTTTATTTTTAGAATAGGTTGGATCGTAACTAATCCAGCCTACTATTCACGTGTGCGTTGGGCTTGGCCCAACCCATGTCCCTCTAAACTAGACTAAGGTCCAACAACAAACCTAGAGGAAATTTTCCTCTCATTTTTTATCAAACGCACCTCCCAACCCCTCTTTCTCTCATGTTCTTTGTCCGCTTCACTTCCTCTTTCTATTTCATCATGTTTTTCTAGAATTAAAAACTCTTTTTTCGAGTAAATAACTTAATTAATCATACTATGTTCATACTCTTTCCTCAATCACAAACACAACATAAAGCTTGAACAGTTAACAAATATAAATTTAAAATAACAGAGCTAATGCAATCAAAACTGAAAATCGAAGAACATTAACCAAATTTCTTAAGTTGATGGTTGTTGTTCTAAGATAGATGAAAAATGAAACTCAAAATGGTTTTGAGAGGATTAAGGAACCGTTTATTAGTTCGAAATGCCTAGACAAGGTTCAAAGCCAAGAATCAAATCCTAAAATTGAAAAAGCAAGAACAGAAACCCAAGCATGAAGAACGAGTAAGAACAATTGCCTAGAGATTTGGCGGAGAAAAATCCGAAACTATCAATTAAACACCAAAACCTAGAAAATCTAGTTGAGACACCTATAAGATTCTAAATAAAACCCGGAACAAACAACAATCCTCAATTTGAAAGCCCAACGAGATGAAGAACAAAATCCTACAAATGAAGAACAATAAAGAAACTACCTAGAAAAAACCCGGAAAATTACAGCTATTAGAAAATAAAATAAAAACTAATAATTTAATTTTTCCCTTTTGATTTTCACTCTCTACCAACCCAAAATTTTCCCCTCTTCTTGCTTGCCCTTTTCTTTCAAGCCAAAACAAATCTTTTATAGGCTAAAAATTGCTCAATTCTCTCCAAAATCAATCTAGTCAAATCTAGATTCTAGTTGATAAGGCTAAAGTTTGGCATTTGATCCACCAAATCAATTCTTTGAAGCATGATTCTCGATTATTATCAATTCCAACTACAAAATTAAAGCTATTATAATTCTTAGTCGGATTGATACCGATCGAGAATTACGGTGAATGTAATTCAAAAAACAAAATCATAAGAAGATTTGTCTTTTGGGAAAGATTGAGCAACAATACTATAAGGTGTTGTTTGGTAATCGGTAATTAAATAATGAAAATGAGAATGTAGGAATCGAAATGAAAAACAAGGGATGAGGCCGGGAATGAGAATCAAAATACTATGTTTGGTATCTTACTATTAAGAATCAAAATGAAAAATTAAAATAACTATTACTTGTGTTTGGTATAGATGAATAAAAATAGGAATGATAGCATATATTTACCACTTGTATCCTTGAACAACCATAATAAATTTTTTCATAGAAATAATTAAAATTTTAAAAAATATTATATGTATATATTTTTATTATTCATTTCAAACAAGCTAATCGTTTTATACATAATTTTTTTATTGTTTTTCTCCAAGTTTAAATTTTCAACAACAAACCGAGTTCCAAGTTTAAATTTTCATTGAAGCTCATGTAAAGGGAAAACGTTATGCTAACAGATTTCAAACAAATCCATCTTCCAGGTGTTCCACTCCATATTTTTAATAATATTTATTAAATTAGTTCAATAAATACCTACTTCATATCCCAAATTTATAACAACATTTCTCATACACGTATTGTTCTTGATTTTGGTTTGTTATCCAGAGTTGATTCTACCCATAATTTTCCTCTATCTCGTTTGTAATTGGGTTATGGAACTATCGGTTTAGGCCAAGGCACCTACCTCATATGGATATCACACTTTCACGGGTAGACAATGTGCATCCGGATATGATTGGCATTGATTTTATAAATCGTATCGCCATGGCTAGTTTTCCACTGCGGGCTAAAAGATCCACTATACAAGCATAGGTTTAGCTTGATATTGCTTTCATCTTGCATAATGTTAAAGAATCTCCATCCTTCATCAAGCAATCCAAAATGACAAGCATATAGTATTGAAATGAAGGGCACTTCATCGGGTTTAATACGTGATGGCTTTATCTCATTAAAATATTTGGGCTAACACCTTCTCTATCCATTTCACGGAACAATCGAATAACTTTGTTAGAGAGGCCTTCTTGACCATAAGCTGCAATCAATAAAGTCCAATTCATAACTCGTTCTTTCACTATTCATGTCAAAAACTTGAATAGCATTATCCAAAACACCACATTTGGCATACATATCCAGGTAATGTGTTGTGAAAGTTAATTTTCCAGTGAACATAGGCCTTCACTCCAAAACCATTAACTCGCTCTACCCAATGAAACATCATCATAATTTGCACAAGCTTGAAGAACACTAACCATTGTATCTAAATCCATATCAACTCCCAAATATAGCATCTCTTTGAAAAGTTCAAGTCTTTTCTTAGAAAAACCATTGGCCACATACCCACTAATCAACGAATTCCACAAAATAACATCTCTCGTTCAATTAATCGAACAACTTTCGTGCAACATCAACTCTCTTAATCTCAAAAAGCAATGAGAGAATTAACAACGGCATTATAATAACCAAAACCTAATTTTAACAAAAACCATGAACCCATTCACCTTCCTTTACACTTCCTAAAGCTGCAAAACACTTCAATATATAAGAAATTGTGTGAGAGTTAACGTCAATACCCAATTTGAACATTTGCCTAAACAAATACACACTCTCTTTAAAATCATCGATCTTTGCATACCCATTCATCATTAGATTCCAAAGAAAAACCTTCTCGTTTCTAATCTTATCAAAAACTAGCCTCTCTTCTCTTAAATCCCCACAAGTTACGTATATACAAGTTTTGATCTTAAAACAATTTCAATTTAGATTTATTTCAAGATAATTAAAAAAAAAAAAAAGAGCGAGAGAAGGAGAAAGCCTACTTGCAAGAGAGATGATTTTATAGGTCGGTGGCTAATTAGGTATGGTTAGTATTTATAGTGGCATCAATGTAATATTCATTAAAAGCTAAGGATATTTTTAAGACAAAACAAATAGTGCCTTTTTTTTCATTCCCACATTGTCATTCCCACTTAAACCCATATCTCCAAAAGTAATGAAATCTCATTAAAAGTTTATTCTCATTTCCTATTTTTATTCCCATTCCTATATCATTACTAATTACCAAACACCTTACCATCAAGGAATGAAGTGTGAATTCTCATTCCTAGTACTTCATTACTGATTACTAAAAAGCACCTAAGAGATTCTAAGGTGGAGCGGACGATAATTTTTCACCTTGGTTTTGGTCCTGTTGTTTGCTCTAAAGTTCTACCTTAGTCCCTAAAAACTTTAATTATTCCCAATCATGCCCTTTTTCTACACAATTTCAATCCTTGTAAAGTGTAATTTTATCAATTGTGTCTCAATATAATGTAATTTAGATTTTAAATTTCTTAATTGATTCAATTGTACTCCTAATTGCCTTAATTACAATTCCTTTTAATGTGATTGTGTCACTAGATGAATTTTTTCGTATTTTCTATATATTTTTCCTTTTTCTTGTATTTTATCCTTTTTTCATTTTTTAGTTATTTTGTAGTAAACTCCAAAATTAAAACAAAATAGAGTAAAATAAGAAATTAAAAAATTAAAAAATTTTGGGTTATGACAAAATCAATTCAAAATATTTATTAAAACTTTTTTTTTAGGAGCATATTTGAGGCATAAAAATAGAAAATGATTTCTCGAGCATCAAGCACCCATGATTAACAATTCTTGTCCAAAATGTCAAGTGCCACAAAATAAAGTTTTATGAGGTTTGATATGATAAAATGCTATAATGTAAGATATAATAATAATGTTAGGAAATAAGAACAAATATAATAATAAAATTTAAAATTTTCAAACAACATACATTATATCATTAGATTTTATATATTAAATCATTCAAATTTTTCAAACACATACTCTATGTATCATTAAATTTAAAGTAAAAAAATAAATTGGATACATACCTCTTAATGACCTAAATAATTTAAATCTTTTGGTAGAGCACTTGTATAGAAAAACAATCCAATGGTTGTAACAAATGATTGAGTTTTTTGATAGATATATATCTCATGGTCTATTATCTTGGTTGGTTAAAGTTTTATGTTGATAACTTGTTATAAAAGAAATGCTACCAATAATAGTATTTATAGGATTCAAGTGATAAGAACTTTAAATAATTTTTTCAATCTCTATAAAACATATTTATACAAACTAATGAATAATCGAGCCTATTTATAGGATTCAAGATTAGAAAAAGAATTGGAAGGGATTGGAACCATTAAAAGGTGCATAAATGGTTGAATCAATTGCATCACTCTTTTAATTTCTCATATTGAATAATGAATTAAATCACATTAAGAATAATGAGTAGTGAGAATATGAAAAAGTTATAAATATTCATTATTTCATAACACACACACACACATGTATATAACACTTGTGATTTAAGTATATCTTTTGTAAGTGTTGTGACAATTTAGCCAGTAGCACCTATTTGACAAAGAAAAAAATTCCATTATTAGAGGAAAAATCTCACAATATAAAAGAACAACTCATAGGACTAATTAAGTTCTTATCGAAAATTCCTTAAAAAAAGAGAGAACATTATTCTTCAAGAAAGATTATCACTTTCTTATCCATGACGTTTTTTGTATACATATTTTCATATAATTCAAGTACGTTATCCATGGTATTTCTATGCTTTTTTTTTTTTTGGCATGGTTTTTATATCCAAATTTATTTTGGGTTTGAATTCAATAAATTGGATAGAAAAATGGATAAAAATCATCAAGTAAAAAAAAAACCTTTTTGATTGGCCTCAATAATTCTTTGGGTCTATCCTATTAACAAAAAAAACCATCATTAATTCACTAAATCCAACAATTGCACTTGGCCCAATAATCTAGTCCAAACATAACTACTAGAACCTCGTACACAAATTAAGAAGAAATAGATGGAAGATGAACTCTCAACAAGGTACCCACTCATGCAAGATTTGAGGAAAGACATGAGAAGAAATCTTATTCTAATGGTAAAGTGACAAGCAATAAGTAATGTATAAGTAGTTAAAAAATAACATAATTCTAGTATCAATGAAAGCATGATCTAGATAGTTAGAAGAAACATGAGAGATTGCAACACAAGGATAACACAATAGAGCTCTACGAGTGCCAAAAATAAAAAATAAAATGAATGCATTGCGAGTGGAAGAAAAGAACATGGATCATTACAACATGTGTGAGGAAATATGATCAATTACGAGAGATTATGGAAGAACAAAAGGCCTATAAATACTACATGCAAGCAAAGGAGAAATATACACAACAACACAACATATAAACAAACTCTTATAAATTACAAATAACTCAATGAGTATTTTTATAAATTTCAAATTTCAAATTTGTTAGAGAGTAGCTAGTAAGCGATAATTTATAAATGATAACTTGTAAATAGTAATCGGTAGGTGGTAATTTGTAGATGATAATCCAAGTAGGCAATAGTCTATTGGTTGATACTTAGTTCTTAATTCTCTATTCATGCTCGCAACAATTATCATTTCCAGTTCCTTCAAGATCTCGTTATGTTTGAAGAGTCATCTTCCGAATATTTGTTATTTCTTTTTACCGTAAGTTCATTGTTTTTAGTATGGTAAAGATTGTAGTATTACATTATAAAATCTTGAAGTTCATAACTTTTAGGTTTTCATTCGTATTGCAGCCTATTTGATTACATATTAAAATAGAGAGTTTGATTTTGCATTGAATTATCTTTTATTTCAAGCTATTATCCTTGCAAGCCCATAATCCAACCAGTTTGGGAGGTAGAGTTAATTTGATTTATCTACCTACAAAATTGGAAAATTAACCGTCATGTAGAATGTGTCCCAACTATCATATTTTTTTTTTAACAAAGTATTTTTAGTTGAGACCAACATAAAAAAATCCCACAAAAATAGACTATAGTTTAATTGCAAAATAATAATAATAAAAAAAAGGAAATCAATAGAAAAAAGAACCCAAAACAACAAGGAAAAAGGTAAGAAATCAAATTTAAAATGCAAGGCTTTGAAGTAATAGTTAAGCAATGAAATCACTGTACTGTCGAAATTTTTCCAGTTGTACAAAATACTACGCCTTGAATTCTACGTACGAGCAACAACGTATGTTTGAATTTTTTTTTTTTTTTTTAATCATGAATTGAAGTGGGAAGATAAATATGCAAGGTATTGAGAAATATCAATGTGGAAAAGATATTTTTTTATCGTTTCGGGATGTTAATCCTTTTTCTTTTTTTAATCAACTTGTGAAATTAAGGATAGTCAAATAATTAGAAAACAAGTGACTATTAAAAAGTTTCCAAAAAGTAAATTCGTACATATCCTAGCAATTTTATTACTACAAAAAATTGTCACATTAACTTCATTCTTATAAAAATGGAATTCAACATGATAAGAAGATGTGGTTTTCATATGTGTGTAGAAAAGCATGGCATTGTCATTTTTATTTAGTTAATAGTTTCTCTCTATTACTACTTAAAAAAAATATACGTCAATTATTTATTAAAAAAATTTGAGAGTTGTTTGATATCATTTTAGTTTTTTTTTTTTCAAAAAATAGAACTTGTTTGTTTTCCAAGAAACTTAAAAAGACTATGGTTAGAATTTTTTAAAACCAAACAAAATGGTTTAAAAAATTATAATAGTAATTTTTGATTCTGAAAAAAAAGGATAATTTTTCAATTTATGTTTAAAATTAAAAAAAAAAAGATCCACAAATGATACTAAACCACACTTTAAAGAGTTTATTTAGCTTATGTTATGTTATATCTGTTGTGATGTTGAAAGATTAAATACATCAAATTATTTGATAATGACATGTTGTATTATGTTGTGAGTACAATCACTTAATTATTTAATAATTTATTGGTGTGCTGTTTTAATAAATAAATTTTTTTCCATAAACAATATAAGTAAAAAAAAATAAACAAGAAAAAAAAATTAAAGAAAGGAACAAGAATCAAAACATTATATAGTTTTTTTAAGTAAATAGATATACTAAATAATTTAATTAAGAAATATATATACACACACATACATATATAGAGAGAGAGAGAGAGTATTTTGTAATTTTAAAGTATTTATAATTATTTTTTTCTTTTAATAAAATATCTTTCATTTAAAAAAAAAATCACTTCTAATACTATTCAGCAAAGCAATAAAAGCTCTAAAACCCGAGTGAAACTAAGGATAGCAATGGGGCGGGGATCGCCATCCTCATCCCCGTCCCGCCCCTAAAAATATTCTCCATGCCCCAAACGGGACTGGAATCCATACGGGGCAAATGAGGTATTTTTTTTCATGTGTTTTTATCTCATTCTACTATCAAAGTTCAAACTATAACAAAAAAAATGATAGTTTATATAAAAAAATAAACCCTAAAAGTCATTAATCATAGATTTTATATGAGGTATTATTATAATTTTAATAAAAAAAACATGACAAAAACGAAACAAGACAGGTAAATTCCATCCCCGCGTCGCTCCATTCGTCAATCAATACAAGAAATCCTCACGTTGACCGAGGAAAATCTGGGGGTCGGGCGGGACAAATTGATATCTCTGGTGCAAACAGGCTCTCATTGTGTAATAATAATAATAAATAAATAAAAACCAGGGCTGTTCATTTGAATGACCTGTCTTCTAATTCCCCAACGGTCATTTTTTTCAAAAAAAAAAAAAAAACCTGGGTTGTTCATTTGAATGACCTGTCTTCCAACTCCCAAACTGTCATTTTTTTTCAAAAAAAACCTGGGCTATGCATTTGAATGACCTGTCGTCTAAGTCCCAAACTGTCGTTTTTTCAAAAAGCCTATAATTTGCACAATTCAAGTGTCATTGGCTCATTGCAGCAAAGAATTCTGTCTTTAACATGGCACCTGTTAGCGACCGGCAGCGCAAACCCCCTGTCATTCGCCTCTGTTCCAGCTCCTCGTCGAAGTCATCAGAAGACAGTAGCGACGATGATGAAGTTGAAGAAATCAGGTCCTATTTTCACAATGAATTATTCAATTAGAATCTATAAATAAGCAACTTCATTTCTAATTAATTTCCTTTTTTTTCTTTTTTGCCGTGTCTCTTATTTTTAACAGTGGAGACGAAAGCAGTTATAGCAACAACGAAGAGGAGGACGACGGCGGCGGCGAGGAGGAAGAGGAAGAGGGAGAGGGAGAGGATGAGGATGAGGAGTCACTCTGCGAAAGAGTCATTTCTCTTCTTAAAGGTGGTTTTAATTGCTTCAATTTATTTTAATTTTGAATCAAATTGCATGTGATAATTGACATAATTACATCAAAGCTTGTCACACTGTCACATCAGTGAGCGATTCAATGTAAATCTGAAAGATGTTTGTTTTGGTGATAGATTAGTGAGTGTTTTTTGTTGTATGGTGCAGAAGGGAATGGATTAGAGGGTTTGTATGTAAAACATTGTAAAGCATATTTACGCAAGTATGGACTTCGGCTAGCTGGAACGAAGGCGGTTTGTATACAAAGAATCAAGGAGCATTGGAGGTAACTAACTTATCTCAAGCTGTACTTGTATTCATGTATTCCATTTGAAGCATTGATTTAAAGTAAATGAAAATGTTGGTGTTTTTTTTTTTATTGTAATCAGTTTAAAAGATGGAGATGCAGAAACACTTTATCCAGTATCATCCTTTGTTATAAATTGTAGAGGTATATTGTTTGTTTGAATGTTTCTGTATCGATTTTTAGTTGATGTGGAGGTAATTTGAAGTTTTGTTAATTGAATCAGGTGATGTCTGTAAAGGAGATGTGGTCATGTTTGTGCAGAAAGTTTACTCTAAGTACGATGCTGTCAAATTTCCTGTTATGTTATGTTTTCTTACTTTATGATGTTTTAAGTTTCGATTGTGAATTTTCTATTGCTTTGTTGATTGAGGTTTTGGTTTTAAATAGATTTAGTAAAGTCACAAGACATGGAGAGATTCTCGGGATGAGAACTGTAGCAGGCAGGATTGTTAAGGAAAGCTATGGTTCTGCCAAACAACAGCATACATTTTCGGTAAGTCTAAATTTTCAGGTGAAAAAACTTAAGTTGAATTGGGTACTGGATGACCACTATCTGGGAACCCTAGGGATCCATATTTCCGGTAATTATCAAATATTTTTTGAACTGAAGTATCAAATATTGATCTCCCCTTATGGGCACATGATAGACGCCTTCTGCTCGCTATATTTATTGGTTCTCATTGCAGAGTCTAATTTAGTTTCTGGTGATTTATCTTTTTGATTGATTTTTGTGAAAAAGGTTGAAGTACTGTGGAGCAAAGGGGTTGAGAAACTGCCTCCACTTTCTCCTTTGCTTGTGAAAGGCCGGAATCTCTACAAATTGAGAACTTTCAGACAAGTAGGTGGCCATATGATAAAACAAGAAGTTTCTCTAGTATTGACTTTCTAATATGTTGGTATTCTTATTTCTTTTTGGTCCACTTCATATGTAGTGTTGGGATAACGAAGCAGAAAGACAGAAAGTCCTTGCTGAAAAGCACGAACGAGGTGCAGCAGCAAGACGTATGAGAACAACGAGGAAATCTAAGATGACATGGTCTGAAAATGGAGGAGGTATGTATAGAGTTTGTCTTTGAATTTTCGTTTGTTCAAAGCATTAAGCTAATGTGTCACATTTCACCCACGATGTTGACAGATGCAAAGTGTCATAATCGTTCCCATCATGGAAGACCATCTCAATCGAGAAAGAGAAAGACAGCTGAACTAGAAAAGAGGAAGCATGTTGATGTACATGGAAGGGACACGTTGCAGCTACGTGAAACGTATAACAAGCATCACCAGCAGCCCCTGGCGCAACTGGATTTCAACAGAAATATGAACTTACACGGATCTAAAACTCCTTTGATCAATGTTGATATGGGCCCAACTCTTCAGGCTCGTGCATTTACTACCCAAGATCCTTGCATATCACAAGTAGAACCGCATCAAAGGAGAGTCCCATTCCATCCCTCTCTTCATGACAGGGGCACCTCAACAACTGTGATGACATTGCCTCCTTGGAGGCCCTATGCCGATACAGTGCCTGCACAATATCAGGGGCTTAGTCAAAACAGTAGAATCAATTACGACTATGCAAATCCTTGCATATCACAAGTAGAACCACATCAAAGGAGTGTGCCGTTCCATCCCTCTCTTCATGATAGGGGCACCTCAACAACTTTGATGACATTGCCTCCTTGGAGGCCCTATGCTGATACAGTGCCTGCACAATATCAGGGGCTTAGTCAAAATAGTAGAACCAATTATGACTATGCAAATCCTTGCTACAACTTTGAAAGGAGTTTGAACCACACACCAGATTTTATTAACAGTGACAGGCCATTACATCGATTTCCTCAAAGAATAGAGACGTGCGGACCAAGAAGGAAAGGTTTTCAACATTTTTATCGTTGAGATGTCTTTATATGGGATATGAAAGCTGAGTTATTCCTGTCATCTAACTGATGTTGATAAAGAGTTACAGGATGCCTTGCAGCTCTTACTCCAGTGATCAGTCACATTTGATAAAGGAAAATACAATTGTAGTCATCCATCAAGGGCTCTTCAGGTTAGGAGAAGACAGGATAGCAATGGCCTTTCAAATTGGATTTTGTTGATCATGGATCAGTGATATATGCGATGATTGCGAGGTGAGTAGATGGTGTAAAGCAAAGAACCACGACTTTTTGTATCAGGTTTGGCCAATTCAATTCTCATGGTAACAGTATACACCTTTCCTGCAAACGGTGGGATTTTATCTACAAGATTGCTTCAATCCTGCATCCTTTTGCCGTTGCATATACACTCTAAGCTTGATTCCGTGGTCTGTCTTGAGTTCTAAGCTTGGAAATTGGTGCCCAGCAGTGCTTGTTAACCATTCCCCTTTTGCACAAACATTTTGTTCTCACGTTGGTAACATCATCTGGTTAAGTGAACACATTTCATGTCCTAATGCATTACTAATGAAGACATTAACCACATCAACGAGAATTACTAGATAAGACATTCCAATTCATCGTTAGCTGGACGAGGCATGCTAATGTTTCCAAATCTTTTTGGTTGGTCTTCGAAGTTGTGGACTAGTAAATGTTTGATCAACCTGTTTTGTCCAAGAAGTAGCCAAGGAAATTTTGGCATTTTAACCATCGTTGATTTTTTTTTTTTTCGTCTGGAGTCATGGCTGTCCATGTTGGCTATAACTGATACAGTTTAGTGTGGCTGATAGGGATTCTTGAGAGAATCCAATTAGTTCGAAAATAGTGTGGAACAGCAATGCAACGGCCTATATCTGGTTCCTCTTGCTTCGTTTTTCAATTTGAGGAAGGACATTATGGTTATAAGCAATTTATACAGGACAGAACGAGGAGAGTCCTTTAAGAATTAAACACCCAACCTTGTCCTTTTAGAATTACATTTTTTTGAGCAACGAGTCTATGAACTTGACGATTTGTTGAACTAGTTGCTGACGATACAAACTCCTAGTGGGTTAAGGATGCCAGCGAGACAAGAGAGATTCCCGATGAACTGCTAAGAAAAAACGGAATCAAACCATTAAATCTATCTAGTTGAGTCACAATATGCTGCATTATTGAAACTTTTCAGGGAAAAATTTAGTGATATCGAATGATTGGAGTGGGAGCCACGTCTGTGTCATCCAAGTACTGTGGGCATGGCACATCACATAGACAATAAAAGGGACCCTTGTAGGCTCATACCAAATGACGGCTCTTCAAAGAAATATCACAACTGGCACCTTATGAATGAACCTTTTGACTGAAAGCGCCACAATTGTCTTTAACCTAATTTTATTTTCTTTCATTTTATCTGGTTCTGGTTCATACGAATTGGACATTTTATTTTATCCGCTTCTGATGAGTGGCCTTTGCAGCCTGTATGGAGTAAGTATCTAGTACTTTGTAAGCAGTAAATCGAAAGACACCCTAGATCCAGGAAGTTGATCCCGTGGTCTAAGAAGTTTTTTTTTTTCTTTGATTTTTTAGTTTTAATTTTAGATTCAATATCTAGATTTTTTTTTTAAAAAAAAATGGTAGATCGATGTGAGAGTTACGTTGTTAAACCGTCCAGAAAGTGTTCTTATTTGGAAAAAAAAAAAAAAAAGGTAAGAGATGATGGGAAAGAATTAAAAAAACAAAGGATAAATCTCAAATAATTAAAAAAAAATAGTTTTTAATAGTTTAGTGGTATATTTGATCATCGCCAAAAGGAAAAGAAAAGGAGCTCAGAATCAAGTACATGAAGATTTGTGTGTCCTAGATTAGAACACGAAGTCACTCAATTATCCACGCAACATTTGTACCCTACTGCTTCCCTCATGCCCAACTTGTGGTGGGCTCTTAACCGTTAGTTGCACACTAAAAATCAATCCTTTATTCACACTTGGAGAGAAAATAAGTACAAACAATTCAATTCAGCTAATATAAAAGTGCTTCCAAACCCAAAAGAAAACAAAAACTTTTGACACTTTTGAACACAGTCCTTCCTGTTCTGACCACATGGAAGGCCGTGGGACAATTAAGGTGGATGCATCCTTCAAGTGGAAGCAAAAAGAGATTACCAACCTATCACATGGCCGCGGAATAAAAGAGTGTGGCCTGGTGAATAGGAGCTAGAAGAACCCTAAACAACATGGATCATAACGGCCATAAGGAGATGAATTAAGTATTGGAGGTTATAGAAATAGATATGGTGACAGTGATAATGATAATGATAATCATAATGAGTAGGATCATATAAGATTGTGAGTGAATGATGGAATTAGGGAAAGTGGTGATCAGGCAGCTTCGGGCTTAAAAAATCTCTGGTTGATGGAGCAAGAAGGACGGAGGTCGATCTCCTGGGTCCAAGCACTCCGGTCTTGAACATGCAAATGCCAGTAGGTTTGAGCCAGCGAGTCTGGGTCCATCAACATCTCTCCACCGCCACCCGTAACTTCTTCTTCTTGTTCCCCAACTAACCTTCTCTGAGAGCTTGATGGTCCCCTACAATTGCCATTTTTCCTTCTCTTTCATTAATTGCTCATCATCGTTACTTTTTGTTCACAAATATTTATGGCCCCTGTCCATAGTTGAATCAAGTTTTTATGAAAATCTCTTTGCTTTTGTTCGTTCTTTTGGAATAATATATATTTTGGACAAACAATCACACATAGAATGGATATCCATCCTAGTAACGGGATTGTCTCACACTTTACACGGGCAATTATCAAAACTCATTTTGCCAATGAACCGTAATGCAACTGTATTAGTGTACTTTTGCCAAAAAGCTAGCTATAATTCGAGCTTTTTTTTTTTTTGGGGGGGGGGGGGGGGGGGACGGGGGAATAAAACACACATATTTATATATACTCTTTTCCCTTTTTTGGCAGGTAATACATGGATGAAAGTAAAATGTTTTGGAGCGAAAAGTAGAATAAGGAATTTAGAATCTTGCTGATTTCTGTAATATGTATAGTAGAGAATATGAAACAAAAAAAACAGATCCTTCCTAAGGAAAAAGAAAGAAGATATGGATGAAAATAAACTAACCTAGATGGGCCAATCACACCATCGATAATAACATGTGCAACATGCACACCTTGAGACTGAAACTCCCTGGCTAGACATTGTGATAGAGCTCTCAATGCAAACTTTCCACAACCTGTATTTTGTGGGCAAATAAATCGGTGCATACTTAGCAGATAACTTGTATCTTTTTTCAAGATTCAATTTGTAATGTTTTGAGAGAGAGAGAGTTCTTACACAGTTCAGAGAAACCAGCAATGCCATTCAAAGAAGCTGAACAGCCCGTGAATAGAATTGTCCCTCTCCCTCTTTCTACCATGCCCGGAAGAATCTAAATATTTCCATTAACAGAACCCACATAAAATATTGAAAAAAAATAAAGAACCCTTTAAATTCTTGGAAACGGAACACTTACATGGTCTGCAGGAATTATGAATTAATTAGGCTTTTGGCTCTGGCAAATTTGAGAGAAAGGAATACCTGTTGGGCGCAAAGGAAGGCGCCGACGGAGGAGACTGTGAGGGACTTCTCGAAAGAGTCGATGCGAATATCAGTGAAGTTGGTGGGTTGCCGAGACACTGCTGCTTGATAAGCATTGTAGACAAGTACTTCAACAAATCCAAGTGAAAGAACCCCTTCAAATGCCTCTCTCACGCTTCTTGAATCCGAGCAGTCTATCCTGATTGCAAAAACTTGGGCTTTCTCTTCCCTTGCTATCTCATCTGCAAAGCTTGATAACCTCCCTACAAAAACCCCATCTCGCTCTATTATCTAATTAGCTTAGAAATCTCTCTCACCCTCTCTTTCAGTCCCCCACAAAATTTTAATTTACGCCAATTTCAAGTTTGTTTCTTCGCTTGCATGTATCAAATGTGAAACAATTTATTTTATACAACTAAACGATACGAATTGATGAGAATAAAATAAATGGTCTTCTTCCTTTACTAATCACAATACAAGCAGAACATAATAGTTTGAAATATTGGAATTCTCTTCCTTATTGTCTAGGGAAATTAACAGACGGCAGGAAATATAGAGTGAAATCCTCCTGTGCACTTTCAAACTTATCAAGCAAAATCATTGATTGGCAGTAAGAGATATAGAAGTTTTGCTATCAAATGATGTTGAATATCTTGTTTCTTTCTTTCTTTCTTTTTTTTTTTTTTTTTCAGGAAGCAAAAAGAAGCGGAGGATGGAGTGAGAGAGAGATAATTAAGTACCTAAGTCGCGGGCAAGGATGGCAACAGTGTAGCCTTCATGAGCAAACTTGCGAGCAACCGATCGGCCAAGCTTTGGTCCCACGCCTACAATGGCTGCGATGCCTTTATTGGAGGTGAAGCTTGCCATGTTCCGCATCTCTGCCGAACTTACAAGGATTTTTCTTCTTGTTTTGTCGGTAATAAATTAACCAAGAATGGAACAAGCAACTTGCAGGAAGTTTTAGAAGGAAGAATGTGATATGATAAAAGCGGGTAGGATATATATATATATATATTATCGGACTATAGATACAATCTCCTGCGTCAGCTGTCTATGTCTTTGCCTCCTCACCGATAACTGATGAGCCCTTTCTTGCCTTTTGCTGCTCTCAAACTTGGAGTGTTGCCTCGCTCGTCCCTACCCTTTTCTATAACCCCTTTTTCACTGTTAAATATTGTCATTATAATATTTTATTTTTGAGGAAACCTAGAATTTCTCGAGATATATATATATATATATATATATATATATATATATATATATATATATATATATATATATATATAGTAGTGCTAATTTTGTTGGTTTAAGCCTTAATTAATTAATATTAAATCTTGAATTCAAATCTTAATAGCTTCATGGTGCTGGTTAATTATTTGTTTTGATTCCTTTAATTAATTGGTAATACTTATATAATTGTTTTTATTTATATTGTCCTTGTTGTATTTAAACAGAAACGATGTTTTAAATTCTAAAGTTTGTATATAAAAGTATTAACAATCTGAATATTTTCTAATTAGCTCAAAACACAATTTATATTACACTTATTCAATTCAAACATGTCTATTAATTTATTGATTAGAGTTGAACTGGATTAAGAAAATGACAAATTCTTATATCAGGAAGAAAAAAATCATTTTAGGATGTGTGCATATATTATATTCTACATTTTTATCCATATTCAATTTAAAGAAATATTATAAAATTATATTACATAATTTCATAATTTTGTTAATAAAGAATTTAATTGAAAAACAATAAAAATATAAATGATACATAATTCAACTATTATACTACCATAGACTTTTAAAAAAGTTGAGGGTTTTGATAAAGATTGATACATATGGAGACAATTTTCTTGTTTTTTTTTTAAGTTTTACTTCTTAACAAAAAAAAAATCAAGATACGATTAATATAAAACCAATATATTGTAAGAAATATCCATATATAATTTTCTGTTTATAAAATTTCTCTTGTTTTCTCTTTCCTTAAATCTTCATTAATATTTTATTTTTGTTATATGATCACATGGCATAAAGGTTCAATCTCACTTTTATAATTTATGCATGTAGAATAACATGATTAAGTTATAATTGAGTCCCTTGCAAGCATGGTGACATCCATTTGTCAATATATATATATATATATATATATATTACCGTAGCATTCTTTATGAATTGTTATCATTTTGCCATTATATTAATATTTGACCCAGATATTTTTATGGGATTTGACTTATAATTATATATGTTATTTCAGATCCTGTGTTGTTTTTATTATATATGTTAAGACCCTTTGTTGTTTTTATGTCATATGTTAAAACTATATTTTATCATCATGTTTAAATTAATTTATGTTTTACATAAATGGAGAAATAATTTAATTTAAATCTCTCTTTTCAGTTTTAAACTATTTTTATAAACCAATATACTAAAATTATTTTTTATTAATGTTGTTAACATATATTTTTTATTGATATTTGTTTAACATAAGTATTATTTTTTTTATGTACGTAGACTCGTTTGTTTATTTTTTTAAATTGATTATTTTATTTGGTTGAATTTTTATTGTTACTAGTTTATTTTTAATTACCACTTTTTATATAAGAAAAAACATAAGAAGAGTAAACCACATCCATGTATTCAAAATCTTGCTTTTTATTATTATAATGTATAAATTTGAATTAATGGTCTTTGTTCATCCTTCATTACATTTTTTATTTTCTTTCTTTTTCAATTTAATTATATTTCAAATATCAATTAGGATTTTTGTTGTGTTATTATATATAAATATAATATGTTCTTAGGAAAACTTATAATTGAGTTTTTTAAACTAAAAGTTTTTCAATTGGATTTACAAAAGCTCAAATATTTCGATGATGCTTACCATGTATATTGAAGGATTGTGTTTATCTTGCATGCTAATGATAAATGTTTATACATACCAAGTTGCTTAATAGAGATGATTTTCAAAAACATATGTTTCTTAACAAATTTATCAACCCCATCCTTTATAACCAAAGTCGTTAAAATTGAATCGATCGGCTAATCCAAGCAGTGGCACCTATGAATCGACCACTAAGTTGGTTCGATTATGCTAGAAACCGTTAAAGGGTCAAAACCGGATAAACCTTATCAATGATTAATCAACAATCATTTGATTAGCGATTGCCTTTTATGATTTAAAAGTAAAAAAATTTAAACATAGAATGGGGGATAAATGGTATCATGACTCAAATCACTACAAAAAATAGCAACGAAAATCAACAACAGATTACAATCTCTCGCTCACTTGTGACATATCAACAAATGAATTGTGATCGTTGTCAAGTGATGGACCTCAACTACAAAACACTAATGGATTTTCAATGAGTAATCTATATCCGTCGCTATATTTGGCGATAAAATATTTACGGGTATATTAGAGACAGACTTAGTAAGAGAATTATGAGGAAAATTAATGACAACTAAGATTTCATTGCCATTTTCTTGATTTAGGGTTAACGATGGAAAATCCATCACTAATTGCACATTTCCCTAGCCAATTAGCGACGGAATGTTTGTCGTTAATATTAAAAAAAAAGTGCAAACTTCGTTTATTCAAATTTCACTAGATTAGAGATAGAATACCGAGGGATACTTATATTGGTCGTTGATTAGCGTCGGATTATTGAGAGAATCACGTTCGTTGCTAATCATAAATTCCTAAATACCGATTTTCTTTTCTTCCTCTCCATTTCCTCCTCAAGCCGTTGTTGCCACTACTCGTCGATCCCATCCGAAACCACCATAAAACACAACTCCTCCATTTTTCAAGCAATCCCCACCCACTCCAAACTCTTTTCTCCTTAAAAAAAATCCCGATTTCCTCAATTTTCTTCATCTTTTCCTAATTGTTCGAAGGTATGTTCTCTCTCTCTCTTGTTTCCTAAAAAATATTGTTATTTTTCATAATTATTACGTTAATTATTATTAATTGGTTAAATTTTAATTTTTTTATATTTAATTGTTAACTAGTTAGGCTAATTTGTTAATTAATTGATATTTAAATCAATTAGGTTAATTTGTTAGTTAGGGCTAAATTAATTAAGTTAATTAGGTTTGAATTAGGGTTCATTCACTTATTTTACTTTGAATTAGGGTTAAATTAATTAGTTTAATTTGAATTAGAGTTAAATTAGCTAGGGTAATTTGTTAATTAATTGTATTTAAATTAATTAGGTTAATTAGGTTTCAATTAGGATTTATTTACTTAGGTCAATTTGAATTAGAATTAAATTAATTAGGTTAATTTGAATTAGAGTTAAGTTGGTTAGGGTAATTTTTTAATTAATTGATAATTAAACTAATTACATTAATTCGTTAATTAGGGTTAAATTAATTAGGTTTTTTTTTTTTAGGGAACGGGGATGGTATCCTAAAATTTTATAGATTAAACGTGGAAAGATACAAGAGGGGACAAACCGACCTAACCCAACATGATGGGGGGATAAGGAAGCTTAAACCCCGAAAAACAATAAGGGATTTTGAAATCCTAAAACAAAATCTAACTTTGCGTTACATCACAAAGATATGATTTGAATAACGAACTAAAAGAGTTAATTCCCGAACCTCACTAACCCATAGTAGTCTTCCTTGAGAGCCATATGAACCGAAGAAAGAAGAGTATCCAATACGTGATAAATAACTTGATTTTCATGCTCATAAGCTCGATCTGCTAGTCTATCAGATCGAAGTTGCCTTCCTTGCAAGTATGAATAATTTTAGCACACCCCATCAACTATTTATATTGCCAAAGTAAGTATGTCAATGACCATCAAACTCCAACTATTCCATTGATAGCATCAACCATAATTTTTGAATCCAACTCGATAAAGTGAATTGTTAAATTTAAATTCCTACACAATTCAAGACCTTCTACTATTGCTCTTAATTCTCCCATGTTATTAGTACCTTCTTCATAGTGTGAGGAGAATGCCATAATCATTTTGCCATTTCCATCCCTCACCATAGCTTCTCTAGTGCACATTCCTTCCCTTGTAAAGCCATCACGAGTTTAGTTTCAACGGATGAATAGGAGAGGGAGACCAAACAATCCATTTTCCTTTTGGAACTTTTAAAGGTAGAAGCGGGAGTGGCTTTCGACATGAACAAGGGTTGAATATCTATAATTTATCTCTTCACTTTGAAGATGATTTATGCTCGCTAACATTACCCTCCCATCAAATAGAGATGTGTTTCATACTTTCCACGACTCCCAAAGTAAGTAACGAAGCACCACCATTATGCTCGAATTGCTTCGGTTGGAAGGCTTGATTGCATGAAGCCATTTATCCACTAAGCATTGTATACCAAGTGTAACCCATTGGGACGTTCAACAAGGGACTAAAGAAGTTCCATACAACTGCAAGCAACCTCTCCTCGTAGAAACAAGTGATCCACTGTCTCCACCGTCGCCTACTTGTAGCAGTGGTAATAGGAAGCAAGATGAATGCCACAACGTTAGATGTTTCTCTCTACCGAAACACCATTATTTAATATCTTTCACGTTAGTATACCATTTTAATAAGTACTCGCTTTTCGAATAGCTTTCACCATTCGGAACGTGGACTTGGAGTCCGTAGTTATTTTTTATATATCGTTGTTCCGAACAACCCCAAAGTCACCGGCGTGTAAATCGATCCGTCTAGTTTATCGAAGCTATTCGACCAAACTTAGCTCTCGTTAGATTGAAGTGGGAAGAGAAGAGAAGGGCTTCATCATTCCGTAATATCTCACCCACAGTAAGATCTATATACTAGTTTAAAATTCCTAGACTCCACACTCTTAAAGAAATGCCTCCCTCTCCTATTATCCATTTCGAGTTATCTCCGATATGAAGGATATACAACGAGTAACTTCCTCCGTAAAAGAGACCCTCTATTCCCTTCTTCATTTAATTAATTATAATTGCCATATTTTGAAGTTACAAACTTTTTCCATAAAGAAGTTCCATATAGGTAAGCCCAAGCAATTTTACCTTTCATGGAGTTCATTACCTTTTGAAAATTCCTAACTCCAAGCCCTCCATCCGAATAAGGTCTAGAAATTTTCTTCCAACCGACCCAATGATGTCGTCCTTCTTCACCATCATTCCAGAAGAAATTTGAAATACACGATTGGATGTGCTTCAATGTCCTCTTTGGAATAGGCATGACTCGTCATCGTGTATACTAGAAGGAAGGATAGGATCGATTGTATCAATGTTAGTTTACCTCTCATGGATAATAGTTTTCCTTTTCATCCCGCCAGCTTTTTATGTATCTTCGCCTCTAAAGTCCGGAAAAAGGAAAATTTAACGCACCCCTTGAAGAGGGGATGCCCAAATATGTTGTGGGAGCTTTTATATGTCTAAATCCTATCCATCTTTGTAAAAGTTTGATCCTATTAATGAGAAGTTTGCTACTACAGAGGAAGCCACGTTTGTCAATGTTCACTAACCGACCATTGCACTCACGAGTATTTCCTAATAATTCATATTAGTTTATCCACCGAACGTTTTGACCCATTATTGAAAAGCAAGCATGTCATCGCAAAAAATAAATGATTAACATTAATGGTGTTTCAACTAGTACGATATGGTTGAATCCGACCCTATAAAACTTATTGGTTGAGCTTCTTGCTTAGAACATCCCGAGCAATTATGAATAGTACTAGTGGAAGAGGATCTCCTTATCGGGCATCTCGTTCGATTTGAAAAAACCATAAGAACCACTCGATTAATATCACTGAATACCAACGAGTTATCCGGACATCGCCGAATGAGGGAGTATCAGCTTGTAGAGAAACCATACTTCATCATTGCTTTGATAAAAAACAACTATTCTAAACGGTCATATGCCTTTGCCATATCTACTTTAAAAATAATATTCCCTTCTATCGTTTTTCAATCAGCCTCATGAAAGAGTTCATGTGTTAGTGCTATATTTTCTTATATAAGTCATCCTTTAACAAATCCACTATGCTCTTTTGAAATGATATGAGGTAAAACTTTACCAAGCCTTTGAGTAGTTATCATGGCAATTACCTTGTAAGACACATTACAGAGACTAATTAACCTCAAATCATTATACTCTACTCGGGTTCCCGCATTTTGGGATAAGTACCATGGATGTTGCTATAACTACTTTCGATATACTTTCACCTATAAACACCTCATGAACTCGCTCGAATTAGGGATTTTCCAACCACTTCCTAGCAAGTTTGGTAGAAAGCCCCGTAAAATCATCTGGACCTAATGCACTCGGATAGGTTAATATCAAATACGACTTACTTAATTTTTGCTGTCGATGAAATATCTATTAACATGAAATTCTTCTCTCCAATTACTAAAAAAGGGACGACTTCAAGTAGCTCATCCGGAGGAACCATTGAATTCGTTTACGAAGATTCTGAAAATATATGACTATACCGTTGCCCAAGTATGGTGTCATCTATGTAAACATTGCCATTAATTCTCAATGAGATGTTATTTTGTTGTTTAAAAGACCGCATACTTGCATGGAAGAAAGCTTGGTTTCGGTCTCCTTCCTTTTGCCATTTTAACCTTGCTTTTTTTCTTAGAAAGATTTCTTCCCGCAAAACCAAGGAAGATAGTTTATTCTTAGTTACAACCAAGCTCTAAGCCACAGACCTCGAATTATTAGTCATGAGCTCTGCTTCCCTACGGGTAACCTCATCCTTCGCATCAAAAACATTATTATATATATTTTTATAGACCTCTCAGCTCCATTTCCCGAGGGCACGGCGTAACATTTTCAAGTTAAACTAAAAATTTATTAACGAGTTCCTTGTATCATGTTGTTGCTAGTGTTACGTGATCAATTGTAGAAAGCTTTCATGATGTATCCACATTAATTTAAAGGAGAACCTAACCGATTTAATACTTCTCTCTCGGAAAGATAACAATAACGAGCAATGGTCCGAAAACACTCTAGAAAGATGTTTAAATTCCAAGCATCGACACGAGGCTTGAAACTACACATTATATAAACATCTATCAATTTTTTACAATATTCTTGCCACCCTTTTCTGATTGTTGCACCATGTGAAACCACTACCTTCATATCTTGTATCAATCGGACCTCATAAGCTGATGAATTGATTGAACTCATCCATTGCTACTCGGATCAAAGTCATGGCCTCTTGCTTTTTCAACCGAAGATGAGATGACATTGAAGTCCCCACAAACTAACCATGGGACTATAGCATTTAGATTTAACAAATACTGCCATAAATCCCTCCTCTTGTATCTCGTTACATTCTATATAAACACAAGAAAGCATGTAATTGCCGTGTATAGAGGTATTTGTAATTTACACTCGTTATTGCATGACTCGCAGATACTATGAATAGTAATGTTGTTGCTTTTTGATAGAATTCAAACATGCATGTTAAGTGGATTACTATGTAAATGATAAGAAAACTTCAAGTAATTAGCAAGTTCTATAATTTTCTCCCCATCCGCTTTCGATTCAAGAATAACTAAAATATTTACTTTGTGCATTTTTATCAACCCTTTTAAATACATGCGTTTCTCCAGGAAATTTATGTCTTATGCATGCCAAACCATGTAACTCATTAGGGAAAGAAAAGAAAAGTATTGCCAAAAGGATCCTTAATGGATCTAGTGCTACGCCGAGTAAGTTTAACCATATTTACTTTCTTCCTATTCTTCTTTGTATGAGCAACTAGCGTATGGAGTGACTCTGTTTTCATCGAATAATATTGTAACCGTGCTCGTCATCCGATACCATATCCCGTAGAGAGAAGTAACTTGAGTTTGTCAAGTGAGAACCCTCTCATGTTGGAAGGAACTAGCTTTCGGAGATAGACAATTTCCTTCCTTAGTTACTACAAAGTAATCATCTTTGCTATCTTGAAATATTTAAATAGAACCTTTAATCCCTTTCCTACTTGTGTTCTGAAATATTAATCTGGATTGAGGTTCAACTTCATATGGATGAACTTGAGGTTCTATTTCTACACCTTTTTCACTCGTTCATTCTTTCCACTTGAGATGTTTGTAGAGCGGAATCATTTTTCCCATGTTCCTTCAATGTGCATTGCTTATTGTTGGTAAGCCCATTCCCATCCAATTCATCCATATTATTCAATGTTACATGCTCATATAACAGCAAAAAGTGGTTTTTCTCTCTATCCCCACTCCCATGTAAGACCTCTACATTCTCATGTATTATATTTTCCTTCGATACGGATGGAACTAGACTTCCTTGCAACGTGGCCTCGCGTTTCTCTCTCATAGATTTATAAAGTCTCAAAAGAATTTAGAGTTGCATATTCCCGTAGCACATCCATAATAGGTACTTCTTTAGGGGCTGTGTATTTAACCAATTTTGTGCCCATTAACATAGCTACAAGCTTGATTTTTTGCTAAACATTGATTTAGTGTTGTTTGCACCTTTTTGTTAACATCTTTAAAGCGAAGCAGTTCCTTGGGTCTCGCCTAACCGTTGCACATGCACTATGATCTTTTATAAAGAAAACTATAATTCTTTTCCCTTTCGTTATTTCTTTGTGGACCTTGTTATTCCATATCCACTTTCTAATTATCCCTTACATTGACTACCTTCCGTTCTCGCTCGTATTTTCTAACGGGACTTGTAATGCTTTTATGAAGCTTAATGGAGAGCAATTGCCTTTATCTTGCAACACACAACCTTGATATAACCTTATAGCTTACAAACTTCATAGTAAGCCACATTAGATTTGATGTGAATAGGTCGCCAAAATCCATTATTCTTATCATGCCCAATTCGGATCCATATCCTCGATGGAATAACACTTTACGGATCTACCTTCACAAAAGCTCGGCATGTATCGCATGTGACCCTTTAAAGGTTTTTTCATCCGGCCTCAAAAATATATCCATCGGTCGTAATATTTTCCTAAGAAACGCCGATAGGAAGAGAAGAAGAGGCGGACTCGACAGCTCTAACCCATATTGCCGCCCATGGTGATTCAAACCTAATGTGAAAGTTGTCATCCCATTGGGATAGCCAAAATAAGGAATTCTTGATCATATAAGATTCTTGAAACCATGCTTTTATTAGGTTTTCCCTGGAGAACATGCAGATTAGGACATGTCCGGGATCAATGAGACCTATAACCGGTTCTTCCGTAAAATTCCATTGTTGTCGTATATGTTGCCTAATTATGTTTATCGGAGGCCTACCTTTGGAGAATTTAGCAACTAGGGTATGCTCAAATAGTTTGAATGTTTGTTGTATATCGGATATAGAGAACTCTATTGTTGGCTCTCCTTCAAATGTCAATAGAGGTTTAGGAGAGATCTACGAGAGATGGGAAACGGTGAGGGGTAGGGTTTTTGTTTTATGTAATGACTACATATGTTGAGGTTTGTTTAGGTTAAGGTGGTTGTTCTATTATACCAACCGAAGAGACAGGACGGTGGGGTTGAATGGCGATGGGGAGAGATTTAGGCACTCGGTGGAACAAATCGGACTCTCCCATGATGCTTCCCGCAGCTACCGAGTGCTAGGGTTTGCCATAGCCGCCGACGCGATTTCTTCACAAAAATTGGGTGATAACAAAGGAAATGAAGACACAAAAGATATAAAGGTTAAATTAATTAGGTTAATTAGGTTTCGATCAAGGTTAATTTGAATTATAAGTAAATTAATTAGGTTAATTTGAATTAGAGTTAAATTGGTTAGGCTAATTCGTTAATTAATTAGTATTTAAATTAATTAGGTTAATTTGTTAATTAGGGTTAAACTAATTAGGTTAATTAGGGTTAATTTACTTAGCTTAATTTGAATTAGAGTTAAATTAAAAAGGTTAATTTGAATTAAAGTTAAATTAATTAGGCTAATTTTTATTAATCTGGTTTATTTTTAATTTTATTTATATTGAAAATTTTAATTATTTTTTATTTTAACTTTAACTATGTTTGAATTAGATTAAATTAAGGTTATTTGATTTAGTTTAAATTTAATTAGGCTTGAATCATATTTAATTAAGTTGATTTGATTTAGGTTTAAATTAATTAGGTTAATTTTATTTACATTACGGTTTGTTAATTATTAATTATTTAATATTTAATTAGGTTTGAATTAAGGTTAATTTAATTATTTTATTGATGATTGTTGAAATATGTTGAGATACGACGTAACGTATTAAACTCGAGGGAGAGGAAAACGTAGAAAATAATTATAACGAGTTGTAATTAAAGATTAATTTTATTTATTGTATTCATTAAATTATATCGTTTTATCTATTATGCATTAATTTTGTTTATTGTATTCATTAAATTATATCATTTTATCTATTATGTATTAATTTTGTTTATTGTATTCATTAAATTATATCGTTTTATCTATTATGCATTTTTTAGATGTTTGTTGTGCATTTTGGATTTATTGAATTTTATACGAGTGACGTCTTCGGTAATAAAGAAATATCCAATTTACAAGGAAGACTATGCTAAATTTTTGTTTTTTTTTTATGAAAACAATTTAAGATATATTTTTAGTCAAATTGTTATTCATTTGTTGTATTTGTTAAACTATTTTAGGTGTTATTCTAAAGTTATGTCTCGTGAATTGGATAGATCTAATCACGGTGCCAATGGTCGTGGCTCGATGGCGACAATGTCGTGGTTGTGGCGTTGATACCGGCAAGTGTTCATGATCGTGCCATTGATAATGGCATTGTATATGGATGTGGCACTCGCTAGTACGAGTGTCCAAGGTCATAGACTTGATAGTGGCGTCGGCACGTTTGCATCCTCGCTAGTAGTGACCCTTCGGGTAGTGCCCTAGTTGGTTGTGTCCGCGGTCGCGGACTCGTATGATGGTTTCCTCAACTCTAGGTGGCTTTACTAGATTTGATACTCGGATGTACCATTTGGATCGTGAATAACTCATAAGTAATATGCTTTACATGTGATAATTAGTTTTATCTTTTCATATATTATATTAGAATAATTAATTCACTTGTTTATTTTATTTTATTTTTTGTTTGATAGCTTAGTTCCATCAAGTGCACCATATTGTAATTTTCAAGGAGCAATTGTATCTCGCTAGCTCATCATGGAAGTATGGCTTCACAAAGATGAAACGCTTCTACTTTAATGAGTTTAGGATAACATAACATATATTAATATAATTTTTTCTTCATGTAGAAGTATTTTTTTATAGAATGTGATAGTCGATATGCTCGATTAAGGATGTGTGGAAAAGTTTAGCATGAAAGGGATACAATGACATGGTGAATAAGCTAAATAAAAAGACTAAAATATCACATTTGTTAACACATCGAGTGTGGGATGCATGGTACTAGGATTAGGCCACACTTGAGTTTTAGACTCGATCTCGGTAGGCATCCCAAAACCACATTTCGGAGATGGATGGTGTTGGTGTTGGCTCATCCAAGCATACATAAGGGTCCATCTCTTTAATTAATTACACCGAACATTTGGTAAATCCTATTATCTATTATATTATAAATTCATTTCTATATTTATTGCACCTCATATTATTTTTTCTACTTTTTCCGAATAATAAATTAGATCGTGACCTAAATCCTTACGAGATATTTCGACCACTCACAAGCGAAAAGATGAGTCATTTATTAATAAGTGGTCCTAGAAAATAATGATAAGTTTTTTATTTTTATAAATATACATCTATCAATATAATCTAAAAATATATATTTATGATTTAATATTATAATTATTTCAATGACGTAGGAGCGCGTACAGATCAACGCAAGAATAACTGCTAAAAAGCGAGCAGAATGGTGAATTATTGTCTCCAAATATCAACATGACCAAGATATATTCGGATGTTATAGAGTTGTAGGAAGGGAGAAGAAGCAAAGAGTATGTGGTCTCAAGTCATAGGCATTCCGGTATTACTCTCATTCTAGCACCAACTCCTCCTCTCGCTATTTCGCGATATCCTAGTGGTAATATTCTTGAGGTTTATATATAATACGAAGATAAGATCAAAAGGATAAAGGTTGTCATCCAGGAACGGATAGGTAAATTCAACACTCTACAAAGTCGAATCGAGATACCGATAGGATTGTTATGGGATTTACAAGCAGACTCGCATCCCTCTTATCGACCCTCCATAACTCATGAGTCGACCGTTTCTCTCAATATCCAACAACTAAAAGATGATTTATGAGAAGATGACGATGAAGAATAGAATTCTTATTTTTTAAAGGTTTTAAATATTTTCGTATACCTTAATGTATTTATATATTTATTTGATTTTAATTTATATTATCTTAATTTTATTAAATAATATATCGTGTTTTAATATGGTCTTATTTTTACTTCTTTGTTACTACCATTAATATTAAATGGCTATTAATTTATTAAAAAAATTATAATTTCCCATGTTTAGTGACGAATTAGTGACTCGAATTAGCGATAAAAATTAAATCTCTTTGTGACGGACACATATAGGGTCGCTAAATAGCAATAGATTTATGAAAAATTTTAACGAGTACAATTTAACAACAACACGACGAAATAAGCCAATAATGACGATTTTAGGACGGATATCGGACCTAAGGAACAACTATTTACTTCGATTTAGAGATGAAAATTCTACACAATAGCGATGGCTAAAGCATTGTTGATCGGTGATGAAAATAAATTTTCATTGTTAAAAAAATAGTAACGACCGTTTTAACTATTTAAAGTATATTATTGTAAATCCATCGCTAAGGATAAATAGCAATGAATATTGATGATATAATGACGAGAAAAATCCATCATTAGTTTTTTTATTTTCTTAGAGTGAATATTGCACTTAACATGCCCGATTGGTTGTGCAATTTTTATAACCTTGCTTTTCTTAATACTTAATAAACGAGGGAAGTTATATTATTTATAGTTAAAAAATCTTTATCTACCATCTCCTTTTTAGTGATGCTAGATAATTTTTTTTATTTCTCTTTAGCATGACAATATCTTAAGTTGTTAGAACCCTAAAATACCAACTCATTGCTTTCAAAAATCAGTTACGATTTAGTACACCTATAAAACAACAACTTTTCTCTCGTTTGTTCTCATAATTATATATATTTTTATAGTTTGCAAATACTCAAGGAATAATAAAATGAGAATTTACAACTATAAAATATTGAGATCAAATATTTAAAGTCATTTCATCTACATCTTTAAGAAATTTTAATGTTTAATAACCGTAATATAATTGAATATCTCTCAAGTGCGTCTCGTCTCCTAACCGATGTAGGCTTAAAA